CGAAGGGCAGCAAGGGGGCCACGAAGGGCTGCAACGGGGCCACGAAAAGCAGCGAGGGGGGCACGAAGGGCTGCAACGGGGCCACAAAGAGCAGCAAGGCGGCCACTGAGGGCTGCCACGGGGCCACGAAAAGCAGCGAGGGGGCCACGAAGGGCTGCGACGGGGCCACGAAGGGCAGCGAGGGGGCCACGAAGGGCTGCAACGAGTCCACGAAGGGCAGCGAAGGGGCCACGACACGTAGGGCAGCGAGGGAGCCACGAAGGGCTGCAAGAGTGCAAGAACGCGGTTCTTGAGTAATTTGCAAACAAGTCTCCAGCGAGAGAGCGACTCCAGAGCGCCGAGAGAGCGATTCCTGTATAAAGTGCAAGGAAGTCCCAAGCGAGAGCGCGATTCCTGAGTAAAATGCGAGGAAGTCTCAGGCGGGAGCGGGGGCCCTCGCTAAATTGTGAGGCAGGATCAGGCGGGAGCCGTTGTTGTTGTTGTTGTTGTTGAACATTATTCCTTCTAAAGAATTATTATTGTTGGGACCCCTGGTGCGCGACCTCTGCGCCGCGCCTAGGCCGCAGCTACATTTTCATCATTTTTTCGCGAAAGCTTCAGAAAAGTGGATGAGCTCCGGATCCGGTTTTTTGTTGACGCTCGTTTTCCCTTGCAAAAAACAATAGAAAATGAAAATTCTTGTTCTTACTTGATCAAATTGCAAGAATCCCTTGCAAAAAATAAGGTAAAGTGGACATTCGTGCGCGCAAGACGAAATCCTTCCAAAACCTTAGGTTTCGTAACGATTTTAACATAAAAACATCAAAAACCCAATGGTTTTTTAAGAAAAAATTGTCAAAATGTCCTTCCGCGCGCGCTGTCCGAATCCCACAAAACCAATGGTTTTTCAACATTTATGTTACATGAGCTCGCGCGAGCTACTTTTTCTTGTTCTAACATAATCAAATTTCAATAATCCCTTGCAAAAAATAAGGTAAAGTGGACATTCGCGCGCGCAAGACGAAATCCTTCCAGAACCTTAGGTTTCGTAACGATTTCAACATAAAAACATCAAAAACCCAATGGTTTTTCAAAAAAAATGTCCAAATTTCATCCCGCGCGCGCTGTCCGACTCCCACAAAACCAATGGTTTTTCAACATTTATGTTACATGAGCTCGCGCGAGCTACTTTTTCTTGTTCTAACATAATCAAATTTCAATACTCCCTTGCAAAAAAAAGTAAAGTGGACATTCGCGCGCGCAAGACCAACAAAAAACACGACGATCTCAGGAACTTGCCCCAAAAATGTGACCAACTCCGCTCTCTCTGTCTCTCTCTCTGTCTGCTCTCTGTCTCTCTCTCTGTCTGTCTGTGTCATGTATTGTATGTCACAATTGCAGGATGCTGGGCACACGCGCGCCCCGAATAAGTGACCAAGTTCTGTGGGTGTGTACCCCACGCCAGTGTAGTAGCCACGGTCGTCCGCACGCCACGAAGTGAAGTGTCCCAACGTCATAGGGCGGGAAGCTGGGTTTGGGTGGTCGCGAAGAGTCGTTTGGATATTTGGTAGAGCTTGAACTGCCCCCCCACGAAGTGGGGGTATTGTCTCGCGTCGCATGAAAACCCTGGCACTGGTGAGAACACTGAGCGTTCGGGTCAAATGATTGTTGTTGTTGTTGTTGTTGTTGTAATCCGGGGGCCACGGGCGCAGTTTGGGGACAGGGTGCGCGCCCCAGGGGAAGCACTTCAATTGAAAAAACACAATGGTCACTGGATGGGGCATCAACAACAATTGTTATTCAGTGGTGACGAGTCCAACAACAACAAGAACAACAACAACAACAACAACAACAACAATAACAACACCAACAATCATTTTAAGACTGTTCGCTCTTACTGGCACGCGTGTCTTGCATTCTGTAAGCCCTAGCCCTCGATACCCGCCCACCTCGTCTTCGATCGCACCCACTTTCGGGGGGGAGTAGCTTACATTGTCGGCCACTGACTGAAGTGCGAAGAACTCTCGAGCGCGGGCGCCGAGTGCCGTTCCTGAGTTCGAGGGCCTCTCTGGCCATGGGCTTCCGGAATACAGATTGAAAAATAACGAACGGAAACACTTGTCGCCGTGTCTGGGCCTCCACCAACTTGCCTGAATTACGACAGTGTCGAGCGAGAGCGCCACTCTTGAGTTCGGGGGCCTCTCTGGCCAGGGCCTGTGGGAATACATCTTGAGGAAATATCGAACGAGAGCCGTTGTCGACGTAGTTGGGCCTCCACCAATTTGACTGAATCACGAGAAAGTCTCGAGCGAGAGCGCCGATCCTGAGTTCGGGGGCCTGGTCAGGGGCTCTAGGAGTAAATCGTAAGCAAGTATCGAGCAGGAGCTCTTGTCGTCGTGGCTGGGCCTCCGCCAACTTGAGTGAATTGCGAGGAAGTCTTGAGCGAGAACGCCGTTCCTGAGTACTGGGGCCTCTCTGGCCAGGGTGTCTCGGTGAAAATCGTGAGGAAGAAGTATCGAGCGGAAACTGTTGTTGTGGTAGCCGGGCCTCCAAGGGCACACATTTACATTCAAGCCCGCGCTCGAGCGAGAGCCTCGTTTTCAAAGAAATTGCAGCCGGCGTCGAGGCCAGAGCGCGCGGAACCGTTTCCGGCGATCAACAACAAGTATTTTCCAGAAATGAAAAATCAACATTAGCATCCACCTCCTCCTCCTCCTCCTCGTCCTCCTCCTCCTCCTTCTCGGGTAGGAGGGCGGCGGGGGGTGCGGAAGGAGGGATGTCGCGCCTTCTCGCCGCGCAGGTTCAAACGGTGTGCCCGCCACTGCGCCAGGGACCAGTCGAGCATGTCCTCGTCGCCTTTAGTCGGGGAAGGGCGGTGTCCTGATGACCCCCATACGCCCCCCCCCATCCCGCGTCCGCCTCCTCCTCATCACCCCCATCATCATCCAATCCGCCTCCTCCTCTTCCGCCTCCTCCGCCGCCTCATCCTCCCCGTGACGCTCCACCACATCATCAGCAGCAACATCGTTATCTGCAGCGGTATCCGCTCCCCCCTCATCGCAGAATGATACTCATAATCGTCATCATAAACATCGGCATCATCCCCACCATCATCACCCTCATCATCACTTTCATCATCACACACATTGTCATCAGCAGCGGCCGCGTTATAATCAGCATCGTCATCACCATCATCAGCATCGGCCTCGTCATCATACGCATATTCATCATCAGCACAATCATCAGCAGCAAACATTGCAATCAGCATCGTATCAGCTTCCGAAGCAGCAGCATCAGCATTATCACCGTAGTGAGCAGCCGCATCGTCAAAATCACCACCAGCACAACCACCGACACGATAGAAACAGCACCATAGTCACCACACGCACGATCGGCATCACCGTGCGTATCGTCCCCCTCACCCTCCCACTACTGTTCATCCTCATAAGCCTTCGCCTCCTGCGCCTCCCCATAATCATCAGCCGCACCATCATCAGCATCAACAGCGTCATCATCAGCATCATCAGCAGATTATCATCATCGGCATCGTCACCATGCTCATCTTCATCAGCAGCATCATCAACAGCAGCATCACCCTCACCAGCATCCCCGTCATCAGCATCATCATCAGCATAATCAGCATCATGAGCATCATCGAATCATCATAAGCATCATCATCAGCAGAAGCAGCATCACCATGATGATGATCATCATCATCATCATCATCATCATCATCATCATCATCATCATCATCATCATCAGCATCATCATCAGCAGCAGCAGCAGCATCGTCATAATCAGCATCAGCATAAGGAGTATAATCCTCGAGGGTCGATGATCGAGGGTGTTTGAAGCGTGCGTCCCTTTTCTGGGCCTTCGGAGGCCTCCAGGGACCTCCTCCTCCTCTTTCTCCTCCCCCTCGCCCCAGGAGACCTCGAGGAAACACCCAGCAGGCGCCAGAGATGATCCACGGCTCACGGCCCGCGAATTAGAGTCGCCTCCTTGGACTCAAAACCGTAGAATCTCATGTCGCACAGCACTGAATCTGGCAACACAACGTTAGCCAACCAGAGCAGACTCAGCCACTGAAGGACAGACCAAGCCAGTGTAGTGGTAGTGGTAGTGGTTGTGGTAGTGGTAGTGGTAGTGGCAGCCATTGTGGTTGCGGTAGTGGTGGTGGTAGCGGTTGTGGGAGTGTTGTGGTAGTGGTAGTGGTCGTGGTAGTGGTAGTGGTGGTTGTAGTGGTAGTGGCCGCGGCAGTGGCAGTGACAGAGGCAGTGGTAATGGCACTGGGAATGGTGGTGGTTTGAACAATGACCCTGGCGAAGGACCCAACCATAGGCAGCTGGCAGAACCGCACTTGTGAGCATCACCTTCCGTGAAGACCCCTACGGGGCCACGAACCGTGCGAGGGGTGAGCCGAAGAATGGGCCTCGGGGAGCATGCGGACCCTGCCACTGGGGCCTTCGGTGGAGCTGCACGGTTCCCCCCGGGGCCGTAGGCAACCCGATGAGGATGAGGAGGAGGAGGAGGAGGTGGAGGAGGAGGAGGGGAGGAGAAGGACGGGTCGCCTAAGCCCTTCGGAGAAACTTTCCAGGTGGAGCTCCCTACGGTGCCACGAAGCGTGTGCGGGGTGTGCCGCACTGCGTGCGGCACCGCATTCGACCCCCCCGGCTCCTCTAGGGCTTCGATGGATCTGCCTCTGGGGCCCTCCTCCACTGGGAGCTTCGGCGGAGGTCCGTGGGGCCAGGAACCGTGTGAGGGCCGAGGGGTGTGCCGAGATGGGTGCGGAACAGCATGCGGAGCACCCCTCCTGGGAGCTTCGCTGGAGCCCAAAGCTCCCAATGGGGCCACGAAACGTGTGAGGAGTGTGCCGGAATGCTTAAGAACCGCATGCGAACCCTCACTTCTTGGGGCTTCGGTGCAGCCCCTCGTGGGGCCACGAAACGTGTGAGGGGTGTGCCGACATGTGCATGCGGAGGCAGCAGCAATGGAAGCAAGCAACGAACGACGAGCAGACGTTTCACTCGTGCGCATCCTCGTCTTTGTCGCCGCTACTAGCACCATCACTGCGCGCCAAGGCTGCAAAGCGGTTGAGGTGCTTCTGCCTGTGCTGCAGCTGCCCCGCCTGGATGCGGCTGCGGCCTTGCGGTTCCCTAGCCCTGGCCTCGGGCGGCTTGTAAGCAGTCACAAGCACGACGGCCTCATTCCCTCGGAGTTGCCGGGGTGAAGCATCCGCAACATTCATGTCCACAGAGACTTGGCCCATCTGGCGATCTGCGGATAATGCTCCCCAATTCATGACACGCGCAGTGGCAAAACCAGCCATGTTCCACAGCCTCGCGTAATCGTCGTCGCCCGATCGGAACTTGGCGCCACAAAAGTGAATACCCATCTTGTTTGCAGTTGCAGACACAGCATCGTGGACCAGGGTGCTTCGCCTGGCTGACAAGGCACTCACTTGCTTCGCAAGCTGCTGCACCTGTCCTGGTTTCAAATACATGATCAAGCCCTCGAGCACCCAACAGGACGGCTGTGTCAGATTGAAGCCATGCCTCTGCAGGCCCTCCACCAAATTCAGATGCTTGCTACCCAAATCAATCGGTAACGCCACGCGACGGGCACATTGCAGCGGAACCTGCGCGAACAGTGGCTCTTTTGCATCAAACAATTCAGGCTGGTCTACCTCAAAGAACTGTGCACCGTCCAAACACATACGATACGCACGAACGTCAAATCCGGCACCAAGCAGGACTATCTGCCTCGTGCCCTTGTCAAACTGTTCCTTGATGAAGCTGTCAATGAAAGCAGTGCGCAAAGCGATCATGTCCGTGAGCCCGTCATCATTGAAGGCACGACCCTCGGATCCGCTCAGGCTGTCTGCCAGCGCATCTGAAAAAAAGGGCGTCTACACGCAGGGATTCCGCTGCGCGAGCCGCTGCCACGGCGCGGGCTGTTAAGACCAGAGCGCTGCTTCGAACGACAGGTGGCTCCATCAGACAGCTGAGGTGCTGGCGTATTCCTGTTTACCTCGAACAAAGCGGCTACGAAAGCAAGAATAATTATTCACTGCGTGGGGATCCCCATATGTGCATCTCCTTGCTGGCGCTCCCTTGGTGGTGGGACTCGGTGAGGACGAATCTGGATTTAAGTGTGACTGAGCTGCCTCTCTCTCTCTCTCTCTGCTCTCTCTGTCTCTCTCTCTCTCTCTGCCCTCTCTCTGTCTCTGCCTCTCTTTCCCTGCCTCTCTCTCTCTCTCTCTGCCTCTCTCTCTGCCTCTCTCTCTCTGCCTCTCTCTCTCTCTCTGCCTCTCTCTCTGTGCCTCTCTCTCTCTGCCTCTATCTCTGCTCTCTCTCTCTCTCTCTCCTCTCTCTCTTCTCTCTATTCTCTCTCTGCTCTCTCCTCTCTCTCTCACTCTCCCTCTCTCTCTCTCTCGCTCTCTTCTCTTCTCTTCTCTTCTCTCTCTCTCTCTCTCTATCTCTCTCTCTCTCTCTCTCTCTCTCTCTCTCTCTCTCTCTCTCTCTCTCTCTCTCTCTCTCTTTCGCTCTCTCGCTCTCTCTTGCTCTCTCTCGCTCTCTGTCGCTCTCTCTCGCTCTCTCTCTCTCTCTCTCTCTCTCTCTCTCTCTCTCTCTCGCTCTCAGGAGCACACTGCCCGCGACTGTAAGTGCTGGGCCCGAGAAAGAGTTCCTCTCACCACCCTCATCAGCGACGACCAGTGGGCCCGTCTTCCGCCGCACACAAGACACTGCGGGCTCTTCGACGAAGACCCAGCCCTCCTCGACCTGCAGGCCGACCTCGCGAGGGACCCGCTGCCACAGCCCATCCCGCGGCCTCCCCTGAGGGTGATCCTGCGGCTTCAGCCCAGGACACCTACACCACCTACCTTGACAACGACACTGGATGGACATGGGTCTATGCTGCCACGGACGGTGCGTGCACCAACCAAGCCATCCCACTCCTAGCACGAGCGGGCTACGGCGTCTACTACGGCATCGACCACCGCATGAACTACAGTGCACGCGTTCACGGCCTAACGCAGAACGCCCAGGTTGCGGAGACCCTTGCCATCGTCCACCTTACGGCGTGTGCCGAACGGCCCGTGCACGTCTTCGTGGACAACCAGGCGGTGGTCGATGGGTTTCAAAGCATCATCGACGGACATCCAGCACCGCAGGGCACGCACGCGGAGCTCTGGGCAAGGATTCACCGATGTGTCATGGCCAAGCCCGACATGTTTCGCGTCGAAAAAGTCGCCAGACACCTGGGAGACCCGGGCATCGACCTTGGGCTCATCGGGCCCATCGCAGAGGATTTCCACCGTCAGGCCGACGCCCTTGCCACAGCGGCGGCACGCACGCACAACCTCCCCGATGACATCGTTGAAGCTGCCAAAACACGACATCGCCAAGCGACCGTGCTTCACGGGGTCGCTGTCGCCATCTACGAGCGCAGACACCGTACTCTGCCGCTCCCACACCGCAGGGCTGGGTTTACAGCGGCTGAACTCAGCAAAATGGAACCAGACCCCCTGCTGTCGGACCAGGCACCACCCGCGGCTGGACCAGACATCCCGCAGAACCCTGACGAGCTCTGGGCCGAGGCCCAACGGGCGATGTACGACGAACAGGAGGACGACCCGTTCGGCTTCGGCGGGGGACTAGACTTCCTGGACGACGGGCCAGCCAGCGCCAACCTTGCCCCGTCGGGCAACCGCACGACGCCCACCTCGACCCCGCCACCGAGAGCGGCACCGCACCCACATGATGACGTCGCTCACCTCCAAGACGCCGACGCGGACTTTTATGATCCCCTCGGATTGGGTGGCAGCATAGACGACGTCCCGCTGACACCCCACGCTGCCGACGACGCCGCTTCATCGAGTCGCCACCCGGTCACGCGGCCGACCTCTGAGCCCTCGCACGGCATCATGATTGGCCCCTCCGCGCCACTAACCCCGTCCCCCCACCAGCGCCAGCCCGCGGGGGCGGCTTCAGCCCCCCCGCAGGGCACTGAGCCAGTCAGACCGTCGCGCCCCGTCCACGCTCCTACTGTTGCAGGCTGCGAGGCTGCGGCTCCTCCGCCCTCATGGGGCGTTGCCCCAGCGGCTTCAGCCCTGGGACCGCGCGACACCCTCCAGTCGCCTCGCCACGGCGACGGCCGCCAGCGCACGGACCGCCGCACCGCGCTGGTCCACCACCTGGCCAGGCGCACCGATGACCTCGTCCCCGCCGCGAGGCCCGCGGCCGCAGGCACAGAGCAGCCGCCCCGCACCGAGCGCGAAGCCGAGCTGTCCCAGTCCATGGCCGCTCTCCAGCAGAGGTGCGCGGCTCTCGCCGCCGACCTTGCCGCTGCCCAAGCCCGTCAAGGCCCTTTGCTCCAGCGCCTCCACCGCGCCGGTCGTGCCTTCGCCGAGCTGCTTACACCCCCGCCCGATGGTGCTGCGCCGCCACTCACCCTCCATGCTATGCTGTCATCGCTCCGCGGCGCTCCGCCTGGAGCCCCGCGCTAATCTCCGCCATTCTGCCTGCCCGTGTGCACGCGTGGCCCCGCGTCCACGGTGTCAGGGCGCGGGGGCGGGGGGTGCCCCGTCCCTGCGCGCCGCGCTGCGGCCAAGCGCCCAACTGGCGGTCTGCCAAGCCGCCTAGCCACGTGTCCGCACGTCGCCTTTCTTGTTGGGGCCTTCTTCGCCACGCGGTCTGACACGTGAGATCTTCACAGTCTGTCCGCCGTCCGTAGCTTCAGACGCAATGCGCCGGGGGAGGGGGTCTTTTGCCCGCCCTCGTGTCCTAAGGCTGCACCGCCGCTAATAATGTTTTGCGGGTTGTCGCACCGCAGTGCGCCTCGCGGACGGACCCTGGTCCGCCTACTTGTCCGGTCTCTCTCTCGCTCTCACCCGCTCTCTCTCGCTCTCTCTCGCTCTCCCTCGCTCTCTCCCGCTCTCTCTCTCTCTCTCTCTCTCTCTCTGCTCTCTCTCTCTCTCTCTCTCTCTCGTCTCTCGCTCTCTCTCTCTCTCTCTCTCTCTCTCTATCTCTCTCTTCTCTTCTCTTCGCTTCTCCTCTCTCTCTCTCTCTCTCTCTCTCTCTCTCTTTTCTCTCTCTCTCTCTCTCCCGGAAGCAGCCACCAGGGACGACCCTAATCAGCCTCGATCACGCGTCTCGCTCCACATACTCCAGCTGGACCCGAAACCACTCATCGACCTGGTGTACACGGGCTTGCAAGCTGTCCCCGTGCGGGGGCACCCTGACGCACACGGGTCGCGCCCCAGCGGCTCCAGCCCTGGGGCCGCGTCGGACCCACCACGCACGCACAAGTCAGGCACAGCCTTAGCCCGCAGTCCAGACCCCTCATCGACGTCATCTGGAGTCGACGAACGCCGTACGCCATCCCTCATCAGCGCGGCCGCCGCCCTCGCCCGAGGCCGCGCCCGTGCGCGACGATCTGCCTCTCGCTCGTCACGACAGAGCGACGGGAACTCCACCTCCGACAACAGCGGCATCGAGACGTGGGAGCACATTGTGACGGAGGAGGAGCCGACTGCCTACCACGTCCTCGCCTACCACGTGCGTGATGTGCGGTCCCGTGTCAACGCCCCTGGCATCGAGGTCTGGCTCGACCCTGGTGATCACCACGATGGCGCCTACTTACCGTGGGGGACGACAGTCATGGGCTACCGCGTCATTGACCCTACGGTGGACGGGCGTGACGGCTGGGTCATCCTCCATCATGATCACGGCGACACCACTACTAAGCTCTGGGCACCGACCCAAGTCCACGTTAAGGGGGACGACTCCTGGCGCACCGTCATGGTACCAGCGGATATGGGGCCCCAGTGGATCAGGTGCCATGCCGAGGACGCACGCCTCCCCGCCGAGGTAGTCCGCACTACAGGCCAATCCTGGTTTGCTGACGTCTGGCCCTTGTGGGATCGCCCGAGACCCCACCCAGACGACCCAGGCACAAACGAGCATGCGCTACCGCCCTTACCAGGACGCTGGTCTTGCCTACAGTGTCGATTCCAATGCTGCCAATATTGCGCGGCTCGCCGCAACACACAGCTTGGCACCTCGGGCCAACCAACGTGCCCAGACTGCGGCCGCAGCGGACTGCGTACACTTATGGACTGGTCCACGGACTACTCGTGCAACAGTTGGACGTGTGCATACAGCACCAATAAGAGGGACTCTGACACATGCTGCCTGTCCAGCAGGTGTCCCCACCCTCCCAGGCCACACAACCAGCTCGACGTCCGTGCCACAGGGATGCCGCCGCACATCCTTGCCCGCCAATTCGGCAACGCGCCAGCCCTCCACGACCTCAAGGAACCCCCCCGAGCGCCTTCAGGCCCCGGGGGAGAACCTCCACAACCAGGGCAAGCAGGCTACCAGGGCCAATGGTACCTCCCACCACAGCCGCGGCGCGTCCCCAGGCAGGGATTGCCTGACGGCACAACGCGGCCACCTGGATTCACAGGAACGGGGATGCCCGAAGAACCTTCCCCCGACCAACCGCTTTGGAGGGAAGGCTATGTGCTCTTCAGCCCCCATCAGGCCCTCAAGGAGGAACTCACCTTCAACAAGACGGTCCGCCGACCCTTCTCCCTAGCCATTACCAACATGTACAGGGATCGTGTCACGGTCAGGACCGTCTGCGAGTTGATCGCCGAGCGCACCCACATGACCCGCACCCGCTGGCGAGATGTGGTACTGTACTGGGACGCCGAGGGTGGTCCTGGGCCTCAAGCTCTCGACTACGATATGCGACTCTGTGACGCCATGGTGAGCCGTGCCACGACCGAAGCTGAGCTAAACCACGACCGCAGCAACCGTGGTAGTTTCTGCCTCTACGGACCAGCGCACCAGCGGGCCATCAACATTACGGCGATCTCAGAGCCGCAGAACATCGACTACACGGAGTATGTGCGACGATACTCACCCGTAGGGGAGACCTACCCTGACCACGCCTTCGAGCACGTCTATCGGGGCTGGCAGCGGCCCGACGTGCCCACCATCCTCCCCGACACCCGTCCCCTCTCGAGAGCCGACTGGCAGCGCCACCAACAGCACCAGCAGCGCATC